CTCTCCTACACCGATGCGTACACGCCCACGAGCGAATTGAGAGTCACGACGAAACCCACCTGAACTCGGACTTCATTCAACTCGCTTTCCAGTCCATGACGGCCTTTCAACGCGCTCATCTTTGCAGCTTCCGCGTCTTCCAGTTGGTCTCTATAATATTCCAAATACAGCATTCATCAGAGTAATGGTCGGCCGGTCTCTAGACCCGTCGCGTAAGACTACCGCATGGACAGGACAAACATGGACATTTGGGAACAAGCACCTCATTTCCAAATCCTTTTTCAAAAATGGGCAGTTGTGCCGCCCAAAAACTAATGAAAAGGTAGCAACTGATTCAGTAGTGAAGGAAAAAGCAGAAAAAAAAACGTCGGAGATGTCTCATACAGAACCGCTCTTCTACAGTTGTCATCCGGGCACTTCGTTAGGCGGCCAAAGGGCTGCGACGCGTCACGATCGCGGCAATCGGTCACAATGACCACAGAATGCAACAAGGATGAGAGAATGCAGAGAAAAACAGATGATCGACGCATTCAAAGGAATTAAGTTCTAGCTATCCGTAGACCGCCCGGATGACGACTGTAGGAACATGAGGTTAGACGAGTTCTCACTCGCCTGTTGGTGTCAGCTCCTTTCCCACCTCACTCTCTCCATTCGAGAACGAGGGTGCTAGTAACGGAACAACCACACCATCAGATAGCAGTTCAAAATGGAAGTTGGTCGCCGCCGCGGCCACTGCGCGGAGAAGTGGTTGCGTCACGAGCCAGCGGCGCTTTCCTCACATATTTTTGAGCTGCGAAACAACTTCCATGCTTGCGGGGAGGAGTTCCATGTCCATATAAGGCGCTCGACATCAAATGAACGCGGAGCATGCCTTTAACGGTTTTGTGTCCCGTAGTTCCAATTAGGCTGGGTTTATCAGTTTCTGTTGGGCGGAAGTGATGTAGCAGGAAGTGCACCGCTCATCAGCTGCGGGTTCTCTTTCGGACCACCCGAACCTTGCTTCCCTCCAGGACCACCAAACTGGTACCAGTCTCGTCTAGGAGATGACAGTGACTTCTACCACAAGTATGCTGGGTAGTGGGCAAGAATCTTAACTACTGGCGGGCTTCGAGCCCGCGTGTTCGAGGGTTAGGTCCCGCCTAGAGTAAAAATTTCGGCTTGTAACTTGTGGGAACTGGTAGTAACTTTCGGAACGGGAACTATGACGTTACACAGCAGTCATCATAATAAAAACAACTTCAAAACTACGTCGGCCGTCCCTTCGACGTCGTGCTTGATCAGATGACGTATAGTGACTTCCTTGCATGATAAATCAATTGCAACTATTCCTTACCGTAGTTGTCGAAGCAAGGATTGCGAAGGAGCGGATTCCCTCTCGTGAGCCAAAAGGGTTTGAGTGTCGGCCAAAAGTGCCAGCGCTTTCCTCAGTTCACGACGATAATGTTCTCCGGAGAATTCAAAGCTGAATATCAGATAAAGAAAGCATAATAAATTTTAGAAAGTATTTCTACCAGAACAACAGGTAACTTGGTGCAGTATACCTCTGCGTGTTCAAGTCGTACTGGCGTGCTCTTGCCTCCAGCACACGATTCTCCTTTACCAAAGAGGAATTTGTGTCTTGCAGGTCGGCCAACTGATCTTCCAATGTTCTCAGCTGAAAAGGAAAACATCTTACTCTTCAATAACGTAGGGCTAACAACCACGGAAACCAACCCTTCTTTGGTATTGGGCTCGAATTTCATCGATCTCCGTTTCCTTCGTCGTGGATTCACGAGACAAATCCGCCTTGAGTCGTTCGGCACCCATCTCCAATCGAGTTATTTGCTGTTGTAACTGTTGGTTTGTCCCGGCCAGATCGTCCAACTCTTCTTCCTTAAAGGTGTGAGTTAAGAGATCAAAGAATAACGCGAAAGAACTTCATATGGAACATAGGCTGATGTAAAAAGACCAGTAAATAGTTAACAATTATGGAGAACTCTAGTCATACCTGCTCACGTAGCTTGTTTTCCAATTCTCTTTTGGCCTTCTGAAGAGTTGCTAACTGTTCTCCTCCACTAGCTGCATCTGTTCTTTCTTCAGCTTCACGCTTCAGTCGTGCCACCGTCGTTCGCAGCTCGGAATTTTCCGTTTTCAGTTCCTAGGCGTACAGTTACAAATTAAAATGCTAGAAATTTATAGGGAAAGTCTCTGCCACGACTGTCTCGCTC